TATGTGGTGTGAAGAAAGAAGGATATAAAGTGGAAAAAAAACAATTGATTATTCATGCATGGAGTATAGCATAGAATATGATCAAATCAATGTAATATGTGACCCTTCACAGCTTAAAAAAAAAAAAATCTAAGGAAATAGTAACAGTGAAGATTTACTTCTAGTTCATGAAGTCTTTGTTTCTTAAGTGTTTCTATTTTATTTACATTAAAGTGTTTCTGTTTTATTTACATTAAAGGAGTCCAAGTTATTGTTTCGAAATGATCTTAGGGATAACAGCTGGTGCCATGTGCATAAGGGAACATTTTATTTCTCAAGTAAGATCTGAATTTTGCCACTGTTCCTCATGCTGTTGTTGCAATCTTTGTAGCCAAATTTAGCATCATTTACCTCAACTGCCCCACAGCTTTTCTGAGCCACCCTGCCAGTGAGGAAAAGGAAATGCTTTCAGTTTAGAGCCTTTCAAACTCTGGACAAAAGCTCACTTTCTGTCAGGTTTCCTATATATGGCTTAAGGCTCAAGATGAGGACCTGCTCACTATGCACCCTATCCCGCCCCCCATTTCCTGCCTGGGTTCATTAAATGCTGATTTGAATTTGGCACACACTCTTCTAGTACTGTGTTCCAGGAACCATCAAAAAGTAGTTCATTACTATCTTTTACATTCCCTTCATTTGTATGTCCTCTCCTCATGCACAGAAAGGATTCTTAGCTCTTCTTCTTAAATATCTCTGCGTACTTAATAAAAAGAAACAATGAAGCAAAGCCCTATCAAAAAGCACCCTAAGCTCATTTGGGAGCAATCTGCCCCCAGGCTGTATTCTTTAATGCTAGTATCTGCATATTGGTAATATTAAGCAAAGTGAAGTATAGCACATAATGACTTCACCAAATCATTTTTCTATCTCTAATGTTTGTGTTTCAGTATCATGTTTCTCAGGGAGAATAGTTTTCTGTCATCTGAGCAATGATGGCTGTTGTGATGAAATTAATGTGTACCTATATAGAAGCCTGTATATTTTCCATTTTTAATAGTACAGGTACTTCTTTCCTCCTATATGAAGTTGCCATCAAAGATGAGAAAAATCATTGAAAAGCTGTCTTTCTTCTTCATCTAGAACCAAAATTCTCAGTTCTGCAGAGATATTTACAAATCATGCCAAGGATATTACAGGTAACCAATTCTTGGGTTACCTGTGATATCTTCTGTTGTAGTTTAAACTAATACTTTCTGTATCTTTCATACCTGTTTCCTACTTACAGTCATTTAAAGGGTAATACCAGTTCATTATTGCCAGCACTGAAGAAAAGAAAAGCCAGGTAATAACAGTAAGACTAAATAATCCATATTAGTGCAACATGTCATTATTCCAAATTATGCTGCAGTTACATAAACAAAGTCATTTTCAGGCTAGTCTTTCCTGAAATCCACTCAAGTGAATTGTTCAAATGTGTTCAGCTGAATCCTATTAAGCTCGATGGCATGGGCTTTAATGGCCTTCAGAAAAAATAGCTGTGTCTTTTTGTTTTCTTTGCAGCAAAGCACTCTCAAATAGTATATTTTCCTTTTCTGCAAGTGGGAACTGATTATTACTTGTTCCAAAGTGCTAAATGTAGTAAAAGTGCAAGGAGTTGTGGAACGAGGAGGCAGGGCTAAAACTGACCAATTAGACCAATATCAGATCTATACTGGTTCTTAGAAGGATTTTAGATGAATGGCCCTCCCTACTAGCCTGGTGCCATGAGAACGTGCAGTCCTGTTGAACTTATCTGCTGTGCTCCTGGCCACTTGCTCTTGGTTTCTCTTGTTTCTGGCATTCTTGCTCCATAGTCGGATGATTCAGTCTGCTATACTTGCAGGCATCTAACCCAGCAAACCCCACCTCATTCAACACCTCCAGCACTTCAGAGAGGCACTCCTTCCTTTCTTCAGAAAGGGGAGATACAGGATATATCTTGTATGGGGTAGAATTAATCTGGTTTTGAATCCTGGACCCCAGTGGGTTGCTTGGTGTACAGAAATTCAGCCACATGCATTAATTATGTTGCTGAGTTAGTGTCTTGGTTAATGATTGTATCACCATATAAAGTGATAGACTACGTGAAGGTCTTTTCAGTGATTTTGTAGTATTAATGGAGCAAAAAAAAAGGATAACTCTTAGGGGTTTGTATCTGCATGAGGAAGCTACTCTGCAGCAATATAAGGAGTAAAGCTTTAGCTTCAGAACTTACTTGGCACTGGCTCTCCATGTGACACTTCTTTTTCACATGGAGTATGCCGTTTGTTAATGAACACAGTCAGCCTTGGCAGTGGATTAAGTTAAGCAAAGGTGCTAATAATGTGGAGCAGAAATACAGGGGTGACTAATGAAAAACAGTTATTTTGAGTGTTATTCCTCTATAGACCACTTCTAAGAAACACTAGTTAAAGTCTTGAATCAAAAACTCATTTGAAATGTAAGGCAGATTAATTGTGACAATTCCTAAGTCTTTCCAAGTGCCTTCCAGATACTAGGGGAACAGTTTAATTAAAGAAAAAAACCAAAACTAAGTTTGAAAAATACATGTTCATTTTTTGCTCACGTATTTGCATTTAAGACTTAGAGGATTAAAATAATTTTGAAATAATCTCATATATGTTCTTTGGGGCAGTCTGTGTGTATATATATGGATTTGCAGTTATCATTTTAATCTACAGCTCTACCTCTAAAGATGAAAATATTTAATTTTGCCTTTTTAACTATCAGAGGGGACTTGACAATTGTAGATGTGTTCTTACTGCCTTCATATCAGAGTGCACTGAAGCACATAGGATTGCTGCTGTGATCCATACCTCTTGCAGCCACCAGTAATTCTGCTTCAGCTTCGGTCAAGATGAGATACAGTGACCTCATCAGTCACACACCTCAGCCACAGATAGGTGTGAAGAAACCACTTTCCACTTCTGCATTTTGTCCATTGGAGCACACATCTTCAAACTGGTTAGGTTTACATTTTTAGTTCACTGAAACCTGCATTATTACTGCCAGCCATTGTGTCCTATTTGGTACCATGTCAGGAACTGGAAGTGTCTCAAGGGACACATTCAAGAAAACCAGTATTTGAAGCAAACACTCTTCAAATGCTGGCTTTGTTTTTTATTGAAAGGTTTATTTTATAATTTGAAAACTATTTTCCATGCCTTTTTCATTTTAAAATCGTTTATATTCTCAGATGGCTCAAAGATTCAGATATTGACATCAAAGTTTGCTTTCTCTGCTTACATGATTGATTCAAATGCAGAATATTATGAGAATGTGGTAAAATAGAAAGGCAATCACTGTAACTGATCATGAAAAATTCATATAGAATAGAAGCATTTCTCCAGTGAGTGTTGTTCTCCAGTGAGACAATTTGCATCACAGTAGTCTGTCACTGATACAGAAGTATTCTCCTAAATTTTAAGAGTATGGAATAGTATAAATCAAAATAACTGCAAGTGCAAAAGCAGTGAGTACACCTTTTCTTCCAAATATCCTTGCACCTGGTGAGACTTCTGGTGAAAGCATGTAGTGTAATCTTAGCCCATTGTTATATTTTATGTTTTCAATTTCATAGCAAACGGTATCTTAAACAGCAAACAAGTCATCTACTCTATTGCTAGAACCATTAGTCTTAACAGTGTTAGTAAGTAATAACAAATTTCTTTTTAATATTTTTATTATTAAAGATGTCTAGTGTTGTGCTAGCCTCTGTATCTTGGTCTGAAACGTACTCAAGGCACTAGGAAGGGAGCACTTGCCGAGACCGATGCAATACGTGACAAAGGCTGCTGCAGGTACTACAGGTTACAGCAACACTTTGGCACAGGTGCAGCCTCTTTGCTCTCAAGCAAGCATTTCTAACATTGTCATCCCTAAGGAAACAAGTGGTACATCAGGAAAAAGATGTGCAATATTACATTTTGGGCAGGGACTGGAATTAGAAGTGTTCAATTGAATTCCTGCCCCAAACTGACAAAGAATAAAATGCTGAAAAGAATGAAGATTTCATTCGTTTTTTCTGCTGACTCTGGCTCCTTGTTTGGGGCTGGGCGTATGTCTGTGCATAAAAGACCTAGTCCCAGTTTCCAGTTCTCTCTGTTTTGAGATACTGCTTAGCCAAGCCTCAGTTCCAGAAAGGGAAACATAAACAACTTCTATTCTGCAATTATCGTTCACTAGCTCTTACCAGTCTGTTTGGTAGAGGGTTTACTTAGACGAGCAGATAAATGAGTATATGAAACATTTGATCGTGCTAAAAATATCACAAAATAAAAAGCACAGCAGAGCTTCATCTCTGGCCTTTGTATGAAAAGACCTTGTCCTTTTAGAAAACAAAGGTGGAACTTTCCCAAGGTGCATTAAATATAACCCTGGGTTTTCTGGGAATCAGTCCTACTTCTTCATTTTCAGAGTAAATGTACTTCATTTTCTGTGCAAATGTACTTAGGACACTGTCATAAATCTAGTTATTCAGTGTGTTACTCAGAACATTGAAGTTCTGGGCCTAAAATTGCTGACCAAGAAATGTTCTGCCAGGAAGGCTTCTTGTAATTTATATTTCTAAGAGCAATCAAGAGGCAGCAGTGGAGGCTTCTCTCTATTTCTGTCCCCAGACCATAATCCAATTATAAGGTTCCAAGTTATAAGCTGTATTTCTATCCAAGTTTTCACCTACATGAGAGATAAAAATGATGTAGAATAAAATTTGCGTTCATATCTAGTTAGTACTTATGATATTGGCAATAATTAATAGGTAACTTCACAGCTGAGATGGGATGAGAAAAATACTGGGATCTGAAGCTTTTTAGCTCTCTTCCTCTCTTTCCCAGCCTCCAGTTTAATATGGAGTTGTATGAGGAGCAGCAGGGTGGCTGGGGAGAATGGGTGGTAAAATCTGATGAGAGAAAGTCAGTGACGACTGACCCAAAGCAGTAAGTTGATTTGTAATCATTTATCCTTTCTTTTTTCATTTCCAGCTTCAGAGCCAAATTTGAAGGTACGTTCAAGGTTAAAACAAAAGGTGACAGAAAGAAGAAGCAGTCCTCTACTCAGGAGGAAGGATGGAAATGTCAGTTCATTCAAGAAGCGACTCTTTGAGGTGACAGGTAATTCAGAATTGAGAAATTCTGTGTCAGCTGCAAGTGCTCATGGAACAGTAGTGGTATTTTGGAATTGAAACTGTTTGCTAAAGAAAATGTTATGTCTTTTTTTTTTCTGCTGAGAAAGAAAAAAAAAGAATGGTTATGTATGAATAACTTGTAATCTACAGCTTTCTACCATTTACTAAAAAGTATTGTACATTTGAAAACCATACTTTCAAACCAACTTGGAAAACAGTACCTTACAATAGCAAGTACAAGAACAAATAAATGGTGGATTGTTGGTAGCAAGGGACATTGAAGGAGAAAACAAGATTAGCCTCTTTCCTTAACTTGCATCTTCTGTACATGAAAGACATTTTTGGTCTTGCCTCTTCGACTTCCCATCTCCCATGGAAACTCCAGATGCTAATAGCAGTCACAAAAATACTGTCTGCTGTTAGTTAATCAAGGATGGTTTGGAATCCTGTATTTGGCCCTATTCCTCTAGTTTCTCTTGTTTGAAAAATGTCAAGTTTAGTTGGATTCAGTATAAGGGCTCACTAAGTTTTTTGAGAAGAAAGAGTTGAAAAGCTTAAATATTCAATGACATACTGTTCATCATAGCAGATAGTAAGTATTCTTAGTAAATCAAAGGGAACTTTTAGCATGTAAGAATACAGAATTATGCATACGGGTGGGATTAAAAGGGCGAAAAAGGCAAAGTAAAAATCTGTCATCAAGTGATATTAATTTTCAGTATTTTTCCTGCCATTGAACTTAAAAAGTTACAAGGTGGGTGAACCGTGGATGCTAAGGCTTTCTCTACATATTTGATATTGGGTAGTGGTAACTTTTTCTGCATATATTTTGCAGAATTGCACCCAATCTCCTAAACAGCTATAGTCCTCTCATATTTAGTCCTTAGGATTAATATGCTGCCAAGGCCTTACCTGTAGATTTGAAAGAAAAGAGCATTTACAGTGTTTGGTCTCATTCTGACATTTCTTGCTTTGACTCTGCATCTTTGGTAGCTTCATAGCTTGTTCAGGTGGTGTTACAATCAGGCTATAAGTTTATGTAACCAAGTGCTACTAGTCTGTCAGACATGTATCTGAATTCACTTGGTGTATCAGAATTATGTCATTCACGTCAGTGTCCGCATACATGCAATTCTCGTGACAGCTTTCCACAGTATGTCATGTGTAGAACTCTGACATGGATGTGAATCTAAGTGTGGAAGCAAGTAAATAAGATAATTTCCCTATCAATTATTTCCAGATTAGGATTTTTTACAGCTAATTTATTATTTCAATTTGATGAAACTCTTACAAGATTCTTGTTTTCCACTTCCTTAGTTTTAGCTGATTTCTACATATTTTGTACGCTCACAAGGTATAAAATGAAACACTTATCCCAGGAGGTTTATTCTGCAGCCATTGAAAGAGCAGACTCCTGAAAATAAATGTGTCCTCTTCCTAGCTCTGACATAATTCGAAGCCTTACAGATTGCTGTTATCTTTATTGATACCAGCTATGTGACATTTTGCACCTTTCATAATCAAAATTTCCCTGATCAAGCATTTCTGGTCAAAGCCTTTTCCTCCTTTCCTTTTTTTCTTTTTTTTTTTATTCTTTTAACTGAAAAAAAGCCCTTTAGATGCCTAACTATACAGAAAGCGCTATTGTAATTTTTAAAACAGAGAAGAAAGAATAAGTTTGTGTTTCTTCTATAAAAAATAGCGATAATATGATGCAAGGGTTTTAGCTGACAATTAGATTAGCTGCATATGAATTCACTTCGGTAAATTGAAGTCAGCTCTGGTAGGAAAGAGTAGCAGGTCCAAGAAACAGCTAGGAAATCTGATAATTTCAGACACATTGGGGATATATTTTTGCATATAAACTGAGGCAGAAAGAGTGAAGAAGCAAAGAAGTAGCTATAGAATATTTACTGCCACATTTAGATATTAATTATTTGAACTTCTTAAGTGCTTTAATTTGAAAGCTATTCCATTGAAATAGGCTTACTTCTACTAATGCTGTGCTCTTCCATCTTTAACCTTGTTAAGTTTCCATTACACAAATTTAATTGATATCAGAGTAGGATTACAATGACTCAGTACAACAGCATACAACAAAATTATCCTCTCCCCCTTTATCTCAGCCATAACTCAGGAAATTTTAAATCAAGATAACATACAGACTTTCAAATGCTATTTCAAGATTTTTGTATGCTGTAACTATTCCTTCGTATTTGTGCCAAAGATGTAGTGAAAGTGGTATATATTTTGCCATTATTGCTTGTGTATGTAACGATTATTCCACAATGGCTGCATCCACTTTCTAAAAAGAAAGGGGTTGGCAGTAGGCCTCATGAATTGATGATGTGTTATCATGACCTTTGTAAGCCTGCTATCTCTGTCATTGTGATCTCTTACAGAGGCAGGATTCTTTGCAATTAAAAGGAAAATGCTTTCTGTTCTTTTTAGTCATTGCAAGTTCTATGCCTGTATCTCTGCCTGATACTGAGTACCATACCATCTTTGTGGGAAAAATAAATACTAAATTCTTCCTTTATGAATCAGATCAGAAGGGGAAAACCAAGAATATCTTTCCTTGTTAGCTCTGTAAAGAAAAAACAAAAGAAATGGAAGATGAATTAGAAATCTTTAATGTAGGTAAAATAGATTATTTTCAAGAGACAAAAAACTCCAAGCCTGTGCCATTAAAAGTATGTAATTAATCAAGTGTTCCTTTCCTAGTGTGAAATTCAGGTATGCTTAATCTGCTTTTCAGAATCCTCAGTCAGTAGCAGCTCCCCTGGATCAGGTCCTAGTTCCCCAAGCAATGGTCCCACCAGCAGCATAACAGAAAATGAAAACTCAGTTTTGCCATCTAACATTCAAGCTGAGGTAAGACTCTTTATTTGGTATAGATAATTCCTCAGGTTTCTAGACTGGAGAAATTTGAAACTTCAATTTGATCATGATCACTAGCAGAGTAATTGCAGAAGTCATAATTATCAGGGATACCAGGACACTGCAGGCTGAAATCAGATTATGTTGTGTACAGGATACAGCTTCATAAATGAGATGCATGTTCAAGAGGCTGGTATCTATGTGATGCATGTTCAGGATACCCTTCAGGAAGAAAATTGCAAACAAAGGCAGCAGCAATGCTACTGGAAGAGGGAAAGTGAGCTGTGGAAGGAACTTGGAAGCATCTGTTGCAGAACATTGTCTTTTAGGATAACCTGAAGATGTGCACAGTGTTGAACACTGATGATGAACTTTCACATGCAAAAGGGTGATTTAGGTATTGGTGACCCTAACATATACAAGTTAAGGTGATCCCAGATTAAGATGGATTCTGAAGTAGATTTGCTTAGTTACACTATTGGAGTTAGGTGACTAAATCCTTTTTTCATATCTGCCTTTTATTTTACTGTACCTTGCTATCCTTATCAGGGCCAGTACTGACATGCCAGGAGTATTGAATACTTGTTTTTGTGAAGTTTGTACATGGAAGGAATCTGAACTACTCCATATTCTGTTTCGTACATATATGCCTATCACAACAGGAATGCAGATGGTAAATCAATTGTGACAAACCTCATTTAGCATAGATGACATGCCTTAGTCAATGCTTTCTGTGGCAATATTGTAAAGGGACAGTAAATACAACTAAGAGAGAATCAAATTCCACAATATTCTGTATTCAAATACTGACAGGAATTCCTGCTTTGGTGGAAAAGTTTTCTAGTAATTGTTGGTTTATACAATGTATGTTAATAAAATTGCATTAGAAAATATGATTTAATAGAGTTTTAACTAATGGAGCTGTTTCTCCAGGTCAGTGGCAGGACACCAACTCAAAAAAAACCTGGAATGGGCAGTTCAATCTCCAGCAGTGACTTTTCCCCATAATGAATTAATTGTGTGTGTGAACTATGATCCAGGGGGCAGGTGGGTGACCTCTGCACACTGATTAGTAGCCTCTCTATGGCCTGTAACCAAAAATGAAAAAAAAATTGCATTGATGGCTAACATGTGGTCTTGCCTCTTAGCCCCCTGTATGCAATTGCAAAGAAATTTACATGATGCAGAGTAAGATCCACCATTTGGATTAGATAGGATCCTAGTTCAATGGACTTAAATGGTATATTTTAGTATTGGGAATGCTTTAGGTAGAGATTTGCAATATGTGGGTGTTGGTGCTCTATTAAACAGGAAATCTTGTCCAACTGGATTGACTTGAAGATACTACAAAATGCAAAGGGAATAACATCTCAGACTGATGTACGGTGCTTGTTAGTTTGTGTGTTACAGTTTCTGGACATTTTTCCACAGTGTGGAACCACTGTCAGAAATGCATACAATCTGGTCAGGCTGGCAGTCTCTCTTTGAGGAGATTTGGAAAGGTTGTAGTAGCAACCATCAGCATTATATTCTGTTTATTAGTAGAACAGTACATTGCATGTAATTTGCCATTACTGTGCCAGACATCAGAAGTTACAGTCCCACCATGCAATCACAGATACTCAAATGAGCCGGAAAGTTCCCTTAGAAGCTGAGCTCTACGTGCTGGCATTGGTCACTTAGCTTGCTGGAAGTGTGCTAAGAAGCTGAAACTACAGAGTTCTATTTCTGAATCCAGTGGGGGATTTCTTTACCTCTCTGGTTACTTGACTCTTAATATTGTCATACTGTGGGCTGAAACATTTTTCCATAAATCTCAGCTTCAGTGTATTTTGATTTCAGTGGGATTTTCTTTGGTAGTTTAACAGGAGCCAAACTCCTACATCTCTTTTCTAGTTTTAGCATTAGCTGCCAGCTCTCAAAGGCTATATATCGAATCAATTTTTCATCAGATACATGAAGTATAGAAGTTTCTAATAATAGGATAAGTGTTCCTAAATCACCCAAAATATCACTTGGTTTGCTGTAATCCTGCATGACTCACTTTGCTGTTGTTTCATAATTGTTGTTGTGGCATTTGCAGTAAGTGTTGTGCTCATATCTGAGTGGGTGGATAGCTGTGGTTTTCATGGCACCAAATGAAACACTTTTTGCTGAGGGAAAGCAGGTTGCTATGACAGAGGGCCATTTACCAGTAAAACATGAGTCAATACCATAAATGATTACACTCTAGTGCATGGACAGAATTAGGGCATTATCAGTAATGAAACGGATTTTTAAAGTATTTTTGCCATATCCATTTGAATAGTGAGACTTTGAAGTGGTTTACCCTCCAGAGCAGACAGTCTGGTGGGCAGACATTTACATTTTTTTGAATGAACAAAGTTTAGCTGCAAATGCTACATTTTTGCAGATAATCTTTTACTATCACAGTTCCCTTAATGGTACTTTCAGTGCCATTTGTTAAAACACTGGGCTCGTTATATGAAACTTGAAAGTTAAGCTTCAGATTTTAATTGCACCTTATAAATAAAATGCTGTTTTTATTAGGCCCAGTTGTCTCCAGTCTCATCAAGGTTCACCACAGTAGCTATTTGTCTCTTGTAGCATGCCGTACACTTAGAGGTCACCTGCTGTGCTGGGGCTCAATCTTACGTGCATGAGAAATGCAAGCAGGATTGAGCCGCCGCACAGCACGTCCCTGGAGTTCATGTGAAATGATTAATTTTAGCACTCATGGCCTGGTCAAAAGCCATTGGAGGCAATGGAAAATTTCCACTTGGTGTAAGTGGGCTTCAGATAATTTTTCTTTCTTTCAGTTGTGCTTTGGAGAGCAGCATTTCCCAGAATATCACCTGATTATACAGGAGATAAGAATGACATGCGTGGCAGATAAACACATACTTGATTTGTGCAGCCCCACAGCACTATGTTTCTAATACTCAGCTCCTTGAAGTTATCTTTGCAAGTAGCCAGTGGAAAAAAATGTGTAGGTTTCTGACCAGCTGAGGTTTGCTTCATGTGCATGCGAAAAGAATCTCATTAATTAAAGTAAAAACCCACAACACCCCAAAAGACTTAAGAATTAAGAGTGTAATTGTAAGCATTCGAAGCCATGACAACCTTACTGTAGCTCCATAATTGAGAAGTATGAAAGACATTTCCTCTTCCAATTCTAATGTATAAATGTGCATATAAACATGCACACCTGACATAGGTGTTCCTGCTTCTCAGAAGGTCCCAGTATAGCACAACAGAGGTACAATAGCTAATCATAATTACTTAATGATCATAATGCACTGCTACATTTAGTTATTGTACTCTATTTTAAGAAAAGGGTAGCTGCTTACAGACTGTTTTAAGGGTCAGGAAGCGGGATCCACATACGCAGTGAGTGAGCATATAGAAGAGCAAGTAGGTCGAGTTGCTCTTTGGGGTGATTTAGGTGCCAGTCTGAACAATCAAGTCTGCATGTAGGATGAGGACAGTAGCTCAGCCATGGTGTTGCCAAATGACACTGCTGGCAACTCCACCTTTTGCCACCATTTCAAGGTATTTCCAACTGTGTGAAAAGAGAAGCGGTTGCTTGGGTTAAGCAGCTCTGCCTCAGCATATGCAGGACCCTGGTTTATGCAGGAGGGCTACCAGGGTTATTTTGAGAGATGAGGTTTAGCTTATGCTTTGGCTGATATTACCTGAAAATATTTTTTAATAGTTACTAAAATGAAAATGACTGATTATTGGCAATATTAGAAATTGGATAAAATGTTCTTACTAATAACCACCTGTTTTCAACATTAAGCTCCCATGATTGTGCCTGATTAAACAATTGTGCCTGACCTTAATGTGGAACGCGTTTTCCTGCTATACACCCTGTCACTGTTACATTTGTTAATTCAGATCTTAGAAGGTAATAGTGTCATACTGAAAACCAAAAAAAAGAAACATGCATTTTGAAGTGGCTTTCTATAGATGCTGCAGTTGCTACAAAGTTGATTATATTCTAGGAGACATATGAGATTCTGCAGTGTCCCTTTGCAGTTAAATCTTTATAGTCTCCCCCAATAATATCTCCATAGTCTTGATGTGATTTTATTCATGGTCAAAGGGGGATGTTATCAAGGCAAGATACTGTTAGCCAGGAATGAATGTAATATACAAGTGAAGCTTCTTTGTTTCGTGTGCTATCTGTTGACATTCCCTAGGTACCAAAAGAAAATTACAGAAATAGGCCTCTACTGTTATTGTCTCAGTGATAGGTCATATCTCCAAACAAACTGTATGAGGAAGGTTATGTTTTGGAATAACATCCTGTGTTTTTGTGCTTAACCACTTTTCATTGATGGTCTGAAGTTGCATTGTATTAGCACAGAGTATTTTACAGAGTTAATTGATATTGCAGGTTTGTCCAGGGGAAAATCTACAGCTCCCCACAACATGCTTGACAAGTTATTATATTTACTTTAGTCAAAGCCCGAGTGTGCAGTATCCCTCTTGGAGGTGGTCTATTATTGGAGTCCCATATGCTTTTTGTTTGGGAAGAAAGCAGTCACTGTGTCATACTGTTACACAGGGTATTCTTTTTCAAGGATGTTGTTCCCTTGGGGACCATATCATGCCAGAGTTCCTAAGTCTAATAAGACCTTTGTAGCTCTTATTGTGTTAAAGTTCTGGGAGGGAAGCAAGAGTTAAACAAAATGTAATTCAAGCAACTATACTAGACCACATGTTGAAAAACATGACTGTTCAAGCAGAAAGGCAAAGGCTTCAAAAAGATTCCTGTTGTGGTAATGTAACTTTTTATGTTTCTTCCCAATGAATATAGAATGGAAAGACAGAGGGTGATCTTTGTAGAATGTCTGGTTTTACTTGACAGTAATTAAAAATACATCAGCAATTCCATGTCCTTGAAAATTAAATCACAAGGCTTCAAAGGGAGTGTTAAAGATTTTAATTTGCAGGGAATTAGGAAGGCTATGAGGGCTATCCCACCACTGGAGAATGGTAGGATGCTGGTTTTGTATGCATGCATAGAGAAAGAGGGAGACAGTACATTTTTTAAATGGTAGATGTGGCAATCTGCCTCACTTTCTACCCCAAATTCCCATGTCAATGGATGTAAATATTGTGCCTGAAATTTCCCCATATAGTAGACTGGGTAAGAAAATTCATGGATTAGGTAGAAACATTTCATACCTTACAACAAAATTTATAATGACCACAGTAAAGTTATAATACATTCACATAAGTGACACCTTTCATTCTGCTAGATATGCTCCTTAATTCCTTGGCTAAATTCCCACTGAGTTTTTAGTAGTGAAAATGCAGGTGATGAGAAGAACCTCTGTTTAGCTGATGAGATGCTGATGAGAATAGGAGGTCTATGAATCTCCAAGATTTAATTTGTTGCATGGAAACTTGATTTACTAACCAAGGAATAATCCATGACTATATCAGTTGCTTGCTTAAGAAAAGAAATATCAACAGCCTTTTCACAGGGATACTTTTCCTTATCTGGCACCCCATTGGGATGCAAACCAACGCGTGATTACATAACTGGCTTTCAATGTAGCAGAATAACAAGGATGAAATAACCAAGATAAAAAAAGTTGGAGATGATACTTAAGTTGTTTTTCCACTTTATTCCAGCATCTGGTTTCACAGCAACGGCTTTTGATACAGGATGAATCGGTGAACTTGCTGAGTTTGTACACATCCCCTTCTTTGCCCAACATTACCTTGGGACTTCCAGCAGTGCAACCTCAAATCAGTGTAAGTGACCAGCCTCAAGCCTTGTGTCCATTTTTGCTTCCAGAAAACCTGCTTTCTGACTATTCTCATTTATTTTTTTTTTTATTTTAGCATTTTGGAACGTAAGCAATTCACAGTAGGAACCAAACTTCTCTTTGCATTGCACAATGTCTGAACATCTTGAAAGCAGTAATAATTCTTAATCGTAAATAAGTGCCAGTGAGGAGCTTATCTAAGTACAGGCCACATGCGCTGCATTTATGGCTGCAAATCAGATAACAGATTTCAGACATGGTGAGAAGTATATGAGGAGATCATTTACTATAAAAGTTCAAATTATATGATCGTCCCTAACTGCTAGAGTACAGTACCTGTAACTTTTTATGAGATTCCAGTAGCAATCTCATGTGGGATGGAGCATAGTAGGGGAGGAATCTAATATTCCTGCAGGTAGGTTTGTTATTTGAGTTGTGTGCCATCAATCAGATAAATAAAATCAGTGATATGTGAACTACACTTAGTATTTTAATAGCAAGTTCTATTCATGTGCCCTTTGTTCAGTCTGCAGCCATTTAATGTGATATGTATGAAAACACAGACATGGTATGTATGGATATCCATGCTGATGGATAAGGATCTTTAGATCTAGACCAAGTTACAGTAAACTATATGTGAAATCTGAGTCTCAGAGGAATATGTGAAAATTTTTGCCTCTGGTCAAAACTTCCATTTTCTGATTTCTAGCAAAAATTATAAAGTATTGATAGAATTTATATGGTTGTTCTGTGCAATGGAGTATAAATTCTGAAGAAATTTTAGCCAGTTAAATTTTGTAGAAAGTAAATTGGTAACTTCTATAAAAAAACAAGGGCTGTAAGTACAGCTTTCCATGGTGAAAAGAAATTAAATCTATACAGTCCACTGTGGTTTATAGCAAGTGCTACTTAATTTCTGTGCTGAATGTAGTTTCAAGTTAAGGTTTCATGTTATTTTGTGGCTTTTTCAGTACATTTACTGTTCTCACCAGTAATATATTGCTGCAATCCCATATTTTAACATCACATATAGAACTTTGCAAATAAAGTTGCATAAGCTTTAAATCAGTTCTCTAGAAGCCTTTCATAAGATTTTTATAAGCAAATTATTGTTTTTAAGGGATGGAAAAACTGAACTGACCAGGAAAAGTCGTGCTTACTTTTCCAGGCGATATCATCAACAATTTCTTAGCTATTTCACAAAAAGTATAACTAGCTTCGAAGTAATTTAATGACATTGAAAGTGAAATGAAAATATGTTTAATTTGCTCACTCAAATCATATGAGCTTTTGATGTGGCCAGCTAGCACCAAATATTACTTTTGGCATTAGGAAAAACAAAAGAGGTGATTTTTGCAAGTAATGTTTCTTTCTGTGACCAGAATAAGCAGTTGCAAATTGAATGTAAAGTTTACTTTGGTGTTTGTTTTTCAGGGAAGGGTGATAGCAGAATGTGAAGTAAGCATGCACCCAAAAAATATTACTGAAAAGCTTGGTTTGCCTTATTAGAATTTGTGGAATTTAGATTGTCAGAGATACTGGTTTTACCATAACATACCATAGGTGGTTATCTGCAACCCACAGCACACTTTTATGTGTTAGATTATTATTCTTGCTGTAAAAATTATTATTCTGCTTTAGCTGCTTTTTTTAAGATTTTTTTTTTTAAGTAGACAAAGAACAAAGAAATATAAAGTACATTTGCAATGCTGAAGGGCCAAAACTTCCAAAAGCTTTAAATCCAATAACTGTGCAATTTATAAGGGCACTTCAAAATGCCACACACATGCAACAGCTCTTGATGATTCTGTAGATGAGAGTTTAACTCTACAAATTTACTTTGCAAAGGGTAAAACTTATATTTGTGCTGTCCTTCAGGGAGTCAGGGAGTGCTCCAGGAAAAGTAATAGCTTCCCACTACTACAGGTAATTATTTTGTTTTACTAATTGGCTTGCTGTCTGATGGAAAGTTATGTGAAAAAACAAACTTTGTCTCATCCAAACTCAATTGAAATTATTTCCTCTGATTCCCTATTTTCCTGTGCAGGAGGCTTTGGGAAGTTCTTCAGGAATTTTAAGGATAGGCCCTGTCTTTTCATTAATAATGTTCTAACTAGTAGTACCTTATGCTTTGGCTTTTACTACTGATTTTTTTCCAAGTGGTTTCATTGCCCAGTTTCTCAGCGTTGCATTTAACTTGCATGTTCTTCCTCCCTTTTCATCTCACAGTCACAGTGTAAGATAGGGATGTTAACCTTTGCCTCTGTATGTATTCATAAAGTATGACATAAGACCATCTAATCAAGCAGAGATAAACATGGCCAGGTCTATGAATAGCAGTTACCAGTGTCCTTGTTCTTTGACAGGCTTCATCATCATTCAAAGAAAAGCAGAAGGGGGAGACCCAGTCGCTCAGACAAGGAGTGGCGTTGGCTGGACAGTATGGGGGGAGCATTCCTCCATCCTCAACTCATCCTCACGTTGCTTTGGAGGGAAAGCCAAACAGCAGCCACCAGGCTCTCTTGCAGCATCTGCTACTGAAAGAACAAATGAGACAGCAAAAACTTCTTGTGACTGGTAATGATCAAGGCTTCAACACAATAATAATCTAAGATGTTTTTAATGACATTTGTATTCACATTAGATGTGATAATACAGATATTATACATCCTAACCATTGGGAAAAGTGGAAGGGTGGGAAAAAAAAGGCAACCTCTTTGCTTTCCCCCGTAGTGATTCTGCTGCAGTCTGTTAGCCTGAAAGAATTCAGTGATCACAGGAAAAAGAAAATGATTACTTCATCACATTCTTTTGTAGCTGCTGAACTTCCCAGCATGGTGAGGCACGTGGTACACATCCCACTGCATCAGTGCTGATGCTAAGTTCTGCAATATACATCCCTCTTCTCACTGAAAGCTCTCTCCTATTAGAACTACGTTGTTTTTCATATTGGAGTGAAATGTCCCTGTTTTGCAGGAGCGGTTCCTCTTCATCCACAGTCTCCTTTAGCAGCAAAGGAGAGAGTATCACCTGGCATACGAGCTGCCCACAGACTGCCTCGTCATAGGCCACTGAATCGAACCCAGTCAGCCCCTCTTCCTCAGAGTACTTTGGCCCAGCTGGTTATCCAGCAACAACATCAACAATTTTTGGAGAAGCAGAAACAGTACCAGCAGCAGATCCACATGAATAAGGTGAGTCCCCAAAGTAAGGAATTTCCAGTGAATGTAAAGTTTGAAAACTTATAAGGGAGTTTAGGTATTGGTGCCATGTGGTTGTGGACAGTAGACAGGTTCTTGCACGGTTATCTTGTTTATGAGCAATTGGTATATACATTTGTATAGTTCTTCATTTTCAACTTCTGAAATATGCTACAAAGGTAATTTTCATTCTTGATGTCAGCAAGAATACAATTCAACAAAATAGTGTTCAGAGCATCTTATAGGTTTAAATTACAGGTGATTTCATGTTGAATGGTAAATGATGCCTTAAGGATTACTAAATTTCTATCCAACTTTTTTATGTGCACTTTTGAGTTTCAGCAATTATTCCTTTCAGCTGCCTTTGAATTGTATTTTAAGCTTCCTCATTGTGGACTACTATGTGCAGTAAGTATATAACTCATCTGAACACAACCAGCTGATTAAATTTATCTTTTTAATCATCTTTTATCAAACCAACTTTTTCTCTGTAAGTCAATTAGTAACATGAAAGTTTGTTATCTGTACGGTGCTATAAATTTCCCATATAAGGAGAAAGAGAAGGATGTACTATTGTTAACATCCGATGCAGAGTTAAGAGTTGTGCCTCTCTTTCAGTGCAGGCTAACACCTTATTGTGGGGAGGAAGGGGGGGAGAATAAAAGAGACCATGCATTAATAAACAAAGAGCAGCAGAATCTAAATAGCTTTATGAGAAGCTAATGCTTCTACAACAAATGTGATGCTGTTCCCTGCTCTAAAATGAAGACACGCAACTGATTAAATGCTTTCATCTAGAGAATGTTTTTCTGAACTTACTACATAGGTTTTCAAAAGTTATTTGATGGAGCTCCACTAGTAATTCAGAGATATAAATCATTCATCTGCAGTTGTCTTCTTTTATTTGAGGGTTACATAATAACTATATATAAGAGGCAATGGCAAAGAAGAAAAGATTAAAAGCAGTGTTCAGCCCTAGTACCTAAGAAAAAAGAAAGAAAAAAAAAAATCCACCTTACTGGGTGAACTTCCCAGGGGGTACTGATTCTTTGGAATCTAGCAAGAATTCCCAACAAAATGAGAAACAAACCTAGAGTTTAAGTACATAGTTTGTACAGTGGTTTGGTTATTAAATCTTGTCTTAATTAGGAAAAATGAAGACCAGAAAACTTCAAAGTTCAGAGCTGATCCTTGCATGTTAACCCCTCTCAGCTTGGGTGTTTTGATTACTCAACTAGGACTCCAGTTGGCTTTTCTTTGAGTATGCATTCCATATGTTTAATCAAGATGGCATATGTATATCTCATAGCCTCAGGTTTTGAAAATATTTCACCTGCCCTCAATTGTCTGAAGAGAAAAGAATTTTTACCAGTAAAGTAAACCCCAGTCTCTGTGCTGTTTGTGTGTATTTGCTACAACCCAACCAGTTCCTTCATTCCTCACAAAGCAGAGAACCCCACTGACATGTTTTTGCTAGATAATATGCTTTTTTGACACAAATTCTACTAAAGCATTTGGAGATATTTGCTTTGCCATATAGGTACATTTGCCCTGAATGTCAAAATTAAGCTTGAGTCACATAAACATGCTCCTAGTCGCACAGGACTAGGAATGCATTGCACCTCACAAGAGATAGCCTGGCCAAGGAAGTCAAAAGGCTGCAGTTGGTTTGGGATAATGTTTGTTCCAGTAAATTTTTTTTCACCTCAGTTAAAGTGTAATGAAAATGTATGTTAAGAATCATAACTCCCTCTCATACTTGAAATACGCTTTCAGTTTCACATGGTTATATGTAATAAAGAGATAAAGCAATTCCTTCTTGTAAAACTTAGGGAACAAATTTTTATTCTCTACAGTATAGGCTATACACATATGCAGATAGTAGAAATTTAAATTTATCCTTATTAGCTTCTCAGTCTCCTTTATCCCTACTCCCAGGGCAGCTAGCCTTCACCAGGAGCACAGAAACTCATCAGAGCAGCAAACACCCAAAGAGGAATAGGATCATGGTGCAGCCACAGAAGCAGTGGGTTATCAGAGGATGAGGGTGGTTTATCAGACTTTACAGTTTGCAGCATTTAGTTTCTTCTACAGCACCTTTCTCAGAAGAACCGTTTTGATGAATAGCATTGAAAAATTACAGTGCCGTAATTATGTATCTGTCCTCTGCAAGTATACAGAGAGCCAGGGAGCTTTATTACATACTTAAAAAGGAAACCTGATTTTTAAAACCTGGAATTTAAGGGTAGCCCATAGACGAGAGAGTGAGAAAAGATCAAATCATGAAGCGGATTTTAAGTACTAAATTTAAAGGTATATTCTTTAACTCTTTAACTTAAAAGCTCAGATAGAACACCTGTGCCTACATGAGGTTTATGAAGTCCTACAGCATGGTGGAATATACCTTTTTCTATCTTAAAACTAGCCTCTATTCACAGTTGAAGTTATTTGTTCGTTATATAATTTGCATGGCTTTACAATCAGACTTAACTCTGCAAAGCAGAGTTAGTTGAACCTTAAAACAGTAGATATTCTAGACCATGTAGCAAAGCAACCCAGTGTCTTCTCATTTCTTAGAACAAGTTTGGGCATGTATCGAGTAAGTACATACACTTGTATTTTCTGTTAGTCTGTCTCCTACTCTTCTGTTATTAGGCTGTATAATGAAATCTGCACAGAGGTGTGATTCCCTCCTTTTCAATCCTGAAAAATACAGGTGGGGTTTTTTTTAATAAGGCATATTCAAACATTCTCTTAAAAGTTTTTTGTGTGAAATACCACAACCATTTTAAGCTGACAAGACTATGAAATGCCAGTTGATCAAGAACTTAGAACAAGTCAGTATCTCCTTTTTCTTTTAAATTTCTCTTTCCTTTTTTCCTTATGTTTAGGACTTCAAATAATTAAGACTTTAATATAGTTCAGCTGAACCCAGTGTTTGAGTGTTTGCCCTGAAATAAGATTATGTGGCATGCACCAGCACTCCCTGAAAAGTGTTCTTGGTCAGGTCATTTGGGCAGATGCATAGGTGTATCTTTCCGTAACAAAAAAAGGGGAAGAGACCAAGTTTCTCTCCACCCCATTGGTCTTGTATTTCTCTTGTATTAAAAAAAACACATTTATTTTCTTTAAGAAAATAATACATTTTGGCAGCAAGACAGTGCTGCTGTGAGGGTGATAACAAGCAAAATCTAACATAGGTCAGAGGTAAAGAATTCCCCTGGATTATTTCCATTCTGAAAAGAAACAAATCATTTTCAAGAGGTGTGCCTCTGTCCTTAATAACAAAGAAAAGATCCCCTATGGAATATTCTGGTCAGCTGTCAGATGCCAGGCTTTTGATGTGGGAAACGGTATACCTCTCCACTGAAGTCTGGCATTTATACCTGTGGGATCTAGTATGCTGACCTTCTGAAAACATTCTGCAAATGTTCACATCCCATCCAAAAGTGGGTGGAAATCCTCATTCCATCTTTCTGGGGAAAAAATATTAATGAATGTGAAGTAACGTGAACTCCTCTTGTCTTAAGGAAAATCGGCTTTGCCGTTGTCAGCTTTAATATACTTCTGTCCAAATGACAGCTTATTTCCTTATAAGGTCCTTTGATCACCATTGCAGATCTTCATTTTCCTCAATAAAGGGAGTCCGAAGTCTAAATCCTCTGGTTAAAATTATTGCAGTCAGGTAGCAAAAGACCACTACTACAATAAAAACCTTAAATTCTTGATGTTATTTGTGTATCTTTGTATCTAGAAACCCTTGACCCTGCCACTTGCAGAAAAAAAGAGTAATTTTGATGTAAATAATGTAAGTGCAAAGCCTGTAGCATATGTCTGTGTTCAAGAAAATCTCAGACATCATAATGTCAAAAGTGAACAAACCCCTCTGTCTTTTAAGGTCATTTTTTGTAACGTATGATGAATAAAGGCCTGTCTCCACTGAAGCTAAAGTAGCAATGTCTTCACTCGACCAAGATTTTATTTGGTCAGTGTAGGAGCCCTACATATGTTCTTAAAATAATCTATTCGTAGCATTTTGACAATTTTTTTTAATGGTAAAATCCTCCTCTGTATTGAAGTAGTAAAGGTTAAAATAATGGGGCAGTTGGTAGGATGCACTAAATTATAGGAGCAGTATAGATAACATTAGAGCTTACATAAGGAGTACCTGAATTACAGTTTTCATTTCAGGCTGTCAGTTGGTTTAAAGCACGTTTATAAATACATCAAAATACGGAGGAAGTGAAAATTTGTTAGTGCTTTGCATGGTGATCATAATTGACCAATATCTGTTAGTAAAAAATTAAAAATAATATGTAAGGTTCTGTTGATGTACTGATGGAAAAAATAAGATTATTTGTTGTCAATAATAATATTGAAAAGATACAGTTAACGCCAGATTAATAATTAGCTTCTCTGAATAATACGTAATGAAATACAGGCGACTGGATCAGATTCAGCTGGAGTAAATTAATATAGCTTGATTAAACATGTTACAACTGAGGTTTTAGTTTTCCAGCTTACACATCTGACTAGCACCTTCTGAAGGTAGCTATAGCAGGCAATTATTTGGACAAAACTATAGCAACAGCTAACTGTGGAACTGAAAAATGCCCAAAGCCTTTTCTCATTTGCTGCGAACTATTGTTTAAGCCATAAGGCACAGGAATTATTTTGGAAGATAAATACATTCCTTAGAAACATTGTACTACATGAGTAACAGAGACAACAGTAAGCAGATGCCAGGTTGTTTCAGTACAGCTAATGTACATAATCGGTCAAAGTAATACGAGATAGCCATAGGAGAGAAGGCGAAAAAGTGTTTTGTATGTATATACAGGAGTTTGTAGAAACAGCCACCATGTATTTAAAATGAAGAATTAATTAAAGAAAGAAATATAGGAGTTGTTGCAGGATTTTGTGCTATGTGTCTTTGTAAAGATGTTTTACTTAAAATACTGTATTTTACAAGAGCTTATCATTACAAAGGAGAAACGAAGACAGGGGCTGTAACTGAAGGATCTGTATAATGATTTGTTGCAATCTCCAGGTTATTTAGTCTTCCACTTTTCTGTACAAGCAAACAGGTTAGCTTGTGTTTGGTTGGACTCTTGTAGTTATACAGTGGAGCTGATGTCTGTAAATGCTTCCTCTCCTGCTGCCACTATTTACTTTGGCTCATGTATATCCCTAACAGTTTAATTTCCTGAAAATAAAAGAAAATAAAATATATAGGTTACATTAGCATGAAGCCATTTTTCTAAGTGACTCCTTTAGTTGGAATAGCGAAAACAATAAAGTGTACTGGTTAAAGAGACCAGTCTGTACAGCTCTAATTTATTAGTGAAAAAAAAGCAAATGTGGAGGTTTTAAATGTAGCGTTAGTGAAACTCAGGTTAGTCAATCACTTTTCCAAAATGAAAAATATGCATTAACATAAGGAGAATCCAGCATGTACCTACAGATAAATTCAGAGAAAAAGTGGTAAGTGGGGATTTAAAGATTTAAGAGTTAAGTGTAAGCAGAAGTATCCAGCAGTGAAAGGACTTGAGCAGTGTTTCATGTAAGACTCATTTTCTGCTATGGAATCCAGCTTTAGCTAGAGAGGTAAGAGAGAAATACTGACTCTAAACTTCAAATATGTAATTTTCCACACTACTACTAAGAGATATAATTTAAAATCAGATGTTTCTGACTTAGAAGAACTGACCAATCTCTTGGTAATGATACTGATGTAATTACTGGAATAAGATGGGGCCAAGCTGCCTTTAAAAAACAGTTTAACAAATAGGAAAGCATGGCTGATAGTGATACAGGGAAAGCATTCAGCTGTGACTTAGCAGACTGAGCCAGCAGCAGTGGTTTTCAGGTTTTGGGTCTGTCCCTCCCGCCATGCCATCCTCTTGTTTTTATCATTCTCCATCATATGAGAGGACAGGACATAAAAGTGAAAAAGGATAAAAGAAAGGAGAGCAGTAATGAGCTAAATATGTGTCCTAACTTTGCTAGTAAGTAATGGTAAAAGTTGGGGGTTATTTTTCTCTTCTCAGTATATTTGACCTTGGAGATACAAATCAGTATTTGCTTGAAATCAAGTGGTCAGTTGAATAAATGGTAATTACTCTCTTGACCCCACAGATGCTTGCTTACATCTCTAATTTGTATCTCTTTCAATAGAGTGGGGATTTTTCAGTTTGTGTTTTGAGGACTACGTCTGGACTGGTTTGGAATGTATTTGCTGCACCTTAAATAGTAAAACATAATCTGTACTTGATTGCAACACTCATATCTGGCACCTCAGCAGAGCTTCGCAACAGAAGTTAGTGGTGTAAAACCAGTATTGTCTGGGTAGCTATGTTGTATCATTTTGCTTAAACTGAGATACCTGTAGCGTGCATGACAAAAGCTGTAGTCTCTCCAGTCACAGACAGATCTGCATGTGGTATCTTTGTGCCACAGGAGAAGGACTGACACCAGCTGTTTGTCACTGCTCCTTTGTTGCCTTTCAGTGCCACCTTGCTTTGATTGATAGAAATGCTAATGTGAACATTTCCTAATTTTCTTATAACAAAATATTAACCATATTAATGATTGGTTTTAGGACTTAGGAGTTCCGTTATTATTTTGGGTTGTAGAAATGAACTGTAATATAGTTATGTAAAGTTCTACATTTATGTTCAGAGTATGAAAGGAGCCAAATTTCTCTTTATTACAAGCTGTAACAGTGTAACAGATGTGTATTGTTTTCATTCTTATGCCTTATTTTTAGTTTAGTGTTTCCATATAGCACTCTCTACATACATGGTATTTTCTACTGAAGAGTAACAAGTGACCTTTTGCTCAAGAACTTTGGTTCTGTTTTGACCTGCACATTAGTATTTTAGCAATTCATGGCTACATGGGCTTGCTGCAGATTCAATTTTGTCAGTGCAAATCTAGTATTTCTTCGTATTTGGCATCAGTGAAAGGAGTCAGTAACTGTTCCTCTGTTCTCTTTCCAGATGCTCTCTAAGTCCATTGAGCAGCTGAAGCAGCCTGGCAGTCACCTGGAGGAAGCTGAAGAAGAGCTTCATCACTCGATGCAGGAAGAGCAAGCTCCTGATGGCGGTGCCAGCATTAGGGCTGAGAGCAGCAGTGATGGTGTGGAAAACAGAATAGGACAGCAGGTGGGGGCTGTGAAAGTCAAAGAGGAGCCACCGGACAGTGATGAGGATGTTCAGACCCAGCAAATGGAATCTGGGGAGCAAGCTGCTTTTATGCAACAGGTAATAGGCAAAGATTTAGCTCCAGGATTTGTAATTAAAGTTATTATCTGAGCATCACATGCATTTTCTAGGCTTTGGTAAGCAGTTGTGTTTTGATTCACTGATCTAGCAAATCCTGATTTACTGTTCAAAGAATCTAACAAAGGCAGAAGTGTTGTATGCACACTTGAAAACATAGTGAATCTCATCCTTATGGCCACTAATTGAGAAAATACCTGTTGCAGACACTTTATATAAATCTTTGCGTAATAGCTGATAGACTTTGTATTAGCCCAGACTTTGTATTACATTACATTGCTTATTTCTAGTGAAAGAGAACTCGTATCACCTAGCTTGTTGAGATCAGCAATTGCTGGAATTAGTTTCCGGTCCTGATTGATGAAACATTCTCCTTCTCTGATTTTGAATCCTCTGACTTTTGCTTTCAGCTGTCTGTATATACTGTATCATACTGTAGTCTTGAACACTGTTAACCTTAGGGTACTTTTTTCCCCAGTAGACATGTATTGACTGCTATATCAGTGGTCCCAGGCTGGTGTATAAAGTTTAAATTAAAGAAAAGATGGATGCAATTGACAAGGTGGATGTAGAGGCAGGCAAGGCACTGTTTAAAATTGCATTGTTTTCTTTTTTGCACTGCTTAGTTAATTTTTCATTCTGTCTTATTTGATGATGCCATCCACGGAGACAATTGTAAATGCAGCAGATCAACTACTGGCAAGAAGCAAAAGGCAGCATTAGGTTGCAATCAGTTATTAGGATACTGCAGGAAAAGCACAGAACTTTTACTGTTATCAACTGATACCTGATCACTTGTTTGTTATTTTAAATAAAGAGTAATCATACAATATGGCATAACCTTTACTGCTGGGTCTCGTGGACAAATACGAAAATAACAACTGTCCATAAAATGCCAACTCGGCAAAAGGAGACTTCAGCTTGTTGGCGAGCTGAAAGGCGCAGTGCATGTGTGCAGCCAGCGCACTGGCATCCCTTTCCATTGCCATCCGCTCAGGCAGGGCTAGGGTGAATGCAGTGGAAGGCCCTGTTTATTTAAGTCGATACTTTGTCAGGTCCCGCTGTTCTGCAAAAAAGTGATTTTGGGAGGGGGGGCAGGAAATGCCTTATGGAAACAGGAAGCCCAAGTGATTCATGTGCTGAGGAATGCGGGGCGGGGGGGGACGGGGCAGTGTTCCCTCTGTTTTTAAAGGCACTCTATGAATTGATTTATTGTCAAAGAAAATAACAAAGCGAGTAGGGAAATTGTTAAGGAAGCTTTCCAGTGAAACATTTCCTTCATATTCCCTTTTGATATGTTTACCTTGTTTTATAGGTTTACTTTTGTTAAGCTAGTTAAAGATTCGTTGTATTAAGATCCCCTTTAATATGGGTAATCCCAAACTGACCTGGAATCCTTGTCAGGGTTTTTTTTCTATTAAAAATATTTATATTTCTAAAGCTGAGGTATTTTAAGGTGCAGTATCCTGTTTCAAGAAAGATAGCTGTTTTGCCAAATGTAGAAATTGTTCTAAAATATATTATTAGCATGTGTTATTTACATTATGCTGTAATAATATTAAATATCTTATAAAGTGTTGCAGCTTCTAAAGATACATTATCCTTTTTCCTATAAGGTCTCCAAACAAATGTCTGAATAGTTGCAGTTAATATGAAAGGCCTCCTTAGATAGAAGATATTTATTAATTGAGAAAAAACACAGGTGATATTTATGTGTGCTTCATATTTGAAAAGAAGTCTTTCTTCATCTTGGATGAAAAAAATCACATTCACATTCAAAAAGTAATGGAGGAGTAAAATTTAATGGTTTTCCTATTCTGTAACATTTTAATTTTCTTTGAAATCTGACTAACTTTAGCCTCATCAAAATGGGATAGTGCATCTTTTAAAATACATTTTATTTGGGGGGAAACTTGCAATTGAGAAGAGTTTTCTACAATATCACTTCAAAGACATATATTCACAAAAGACAAGATATTTTTATAGTGTCATTCAGGTGAGAAACCCCAATACATTAGTGGACTTTAATTTCAGAATCTTTCAAATTTGGATGAAATTTAAAACCTGGAACCAGTGAAAAGGAAAACTGGGTTTAAACAACCACATTTCTAATTGATTATTGTCTCTTACATTTTAAATCTACTGTATTTATTATAATTTACACCCTTAGAGGTGATCTCTTGTTTTGTGTTGTAAATATATTCTGTTTGTATGTTTCCTTTTTTTGCCTTCTGATATCTCTTCCTTTCTCAAATAAAGTTTTTTTTTTAAAAGATCACCTTTCAGATATCTGACTTTGTGTAAATTTGATAACTTAGTTGTGCTTTTGCTTTGTATAACCAAATATGTTCACTACACGTTGTCGAAACAATTCAGGCTTTCAGGAGCAAGTTTTTAATTACACTATTCTTACAATAATTACACAAAGTCTTTTTTTGGTCTCTTGTTTTATCCTGCATCTGCCATCATAAGTTTTAGTGAATGTGGAGCAGTATTGATGCATGTTCATTTTCCCATCGTGGCATCTGTCTTGAACATGTGATCATATATCACCATACAGGAAAGGTAAAGGTGAATCCCAATTTCTTAGCTAGTAATTATCCAAAATTTAGATGAACTGAAATAATTTTCATTATTTTTCCAACTTGCCTAGAACCCAAAACATGCTGATCTGAAGCTGAGCTTGTACTTATCTCTGATATTCCTCAAGACCTTTGCAAAACTAGAGTCCACATGTAAATATGCTGGGGAGGAGGAAATCCTCAAACTTTGCAGACGTTAAAGAAACTGCATGAGGCAGTGAAGTCCTGCTCCTACTTTGGAATACCATCTTTAACGTTCACCTTTAGAGTAACACCTAGCCCTTCCATGAAGATGTTAAGTGCTTTGTGACATGTCCTGAACTTTGCTTCAGATCTAGAGAGAGTTTATCCCATTAGCAGCATGTCCCTATTGCTACTGTACATGAATTGTTCCTACCAAGAGTTCAGGAAATTGTTGCATTCTAGCTCTTCTAACAGTTCATTTAACTTGCAAAGGCTCTTAACAGCTCTGATTCTGATACAAATAGTACTAAAATAAAATGGTTTCAGCAACATAAATATGTAAGAATAAATATTTCTGTTAATCAAATGTGATAATTTTCACTGATATAGCAGCAAACTAATGTTTCATGAGTAATACACCCCCAAAAATAGGTAAAAAGTTAAGTTTTATTTAGGAAAGATTAAAGCTAGCCTTAACAGAATAAACAATAGGGCAAGCAGTTCAATAATGATATAATGTATTTAGAATCTTGTGTCTGTAAGTAAATCATGCTTTCAACAGGGATTTTATTGAGATGCCTTTTGTTTAAATACTTATGTTGGAATTAGAAGAATGTTTTCAATTTACATTCCTGGTTTGTAGGCTATACCTAGATGATTTTTTTTTTTTAATTATTTGTTTACTATGCATCATAGCACCCATAATGAAAATAAATAATCATAATTGAATACAATTTACAAGTCTTATCTACTTCCAGTTTACTCTTCCCTGTTGTCCAAAAAATAAAGCCAGTGTAGCTGCTAATTTAGAAGTAATTACTACTAAGTGAGGGAAAACGCTTCATAATATTTACATAATCAAGACAGACACATTACCCAAATGTAGATACTGTAACATTAGCCTTTTTTTAATTTTCTGGCATTAATGAAGTAGGATTAAAAGCCAGTTCCTTCAGGAAAGCAAGAGCACTCCAGACACTACCACCACTCATCTTTTCTATTCAGAAGTTCATTTGTACACTATCTTCATTCCGTCTTCGTTATCATCAGGATCACTAAGACTTAATCCATGTTACTTAAATCAACTGTACCCTGTTTTTATCTTCACTGGCATTCTGAGGTAAAAATCTATAAACATTAATCCCAAGCACCAACCTAAAAATTTTTACTTATTTCTCTCCCTATGAGCACTTCACAATTTGCAGCCAAAATTAGCTAAGCCAAGTTAATGTCCTTATTCTACTCTGTCCCACTAGCAGCATGTCCTACTTATCCACTTAAGAAATGTTTGTTTGCTTTACATTTATTTGTTTGCTTTCTGATTTCCTTATGCAGTTCCCATTATCTGGGTGGTAGCAGGGCTTCTGTTACCTCATTGCTCAGTGGAGGAATATAGTTTAGAATGTTGAATGCTGAATCGCTGTTTGGGCAAAGATGAGCATCCTGGATAAATTATCATCTCTGCACTAGAGGAATAATCCCAGTGATTTTTGTAGAATTTTACCGCTGTAATTGGTAGACACCGAACTTTGCATTTGGTAGGCTTAGTGCTTTGCATTTGTTGTTTGGTTTTTTCCTCTTGTATTTCAGCCTAATTTGGAATTTGATTTAAAAGTGAAAAATACAGTTAGCTCACACAGCCAGTGGAAAAGGTGGGTTTCTTGGCCATGCTTACTCACTCACACACACAAACAGGACTAAGGGGCATCCTTTGGCCTTGACGGGTTTATTGGTCCCCATTTACCGAGCTCAAGTGTCACATTCCTTTTGCTTATTTTTATTCCAGACCCATAATCCATCTAGCCCATAGAAGCCAACTTCTACCTGTGGACACGCACAGCTATTAGAGACCCCATGGGTTATTTCATCAGTATCTGAGAGTTAAAAGCATACCAGCTTAGTAATTTGAAATCATTCAGGAGTGTCTAAGTCTCTGTGGTGACTGCACAGGTGCCTTAGTCACTAGAGTTGTTTTGACAGACCAGATTCTTATAAGTGATCTAGTGCCTTAATTAGCTGACTAAATGAGATGGTTTGAATCTGGCTGTGAAGCTTTTGTTGCATTTGTATTACTTTACTTTCCATAGTTACCTTGAATTAACTTAAATATAAGGGAGGTTTGTTGGAGGATGCACTGTTAAAAGAGCCCTTCTGCATATTTGGTCTTTCCAAGGTGGTAGCATGTTACAACATTTTTGGCTTTGAGAAGTGCTGTGA